AGATAAGTACGGAATTTATGAAATAAATAATACCGTACTTGGCTTAGAAAATATAAACTCTCTATTTATTAATTTTTTAAAAGAGTTCAAATCTAAATTGATTTTGACTTTGTAATTAATACATTATTTCCAAAAAAAAATTGATATTATTAAAATGTTTAATTTTGCGAACTTATATATATAAGCTCATTGAAATATCTTAATTTTTAATAGAATTGTTAATAAAATAATAGTCGTTATTAATAGTTATATTCTACGACGATGAAAAATAATAAAATAAATAAATAAATAATTTAGGTTAAGAAAGAACATGAAGAGGAATCAAATGCATGGTCGTGGATACCAAATACAAAGGGAATCCTATGCTTCTTTTATTGCCAATTTGTTCCATTTTTATTTTATTCATGGACCACTAGAATTTTCAATTGTTAAAATTTAAAAGTCAAATCTTATTAAATATATATATTTTGTATTGGACCTTAATTTAATGGTCGAGACATTATAATCATATATTAAACTAAGTTTTATGCATCATCTTATTTGTCGTTGGGTAAATTAAAAATTATGTTAAATTATAAATAATATTAATGTATTATGTTCGATAAATCATAGATTTTGGGTGAAAAAATTAAAAAATATTTTTATCCATATATTTCCAACCAAAAATTAAAATTTTAAAATTAGTTTTTATTATTATTTATATAAATAATAATAATAATAATAATAATAATATATTTTGAAAATTAATTTTTTTACAGAAAAGTTTATCCAAAGAAAATAGACCAAAACAATGTTTTAATAATTTTTTAAGCATATAAAAAAATTAAAGTTTTGAAGAAAAATGATTTTAAAAAAATACTATGAGAATCAAAATGATATAAGCAGTGACGCTAATGGTCACTTATAGGCGCTCGGGTAGATCTCGCGACTTGACTCAACGCGCCTTAGTGCGCGTGGAATCTTGTTCTCTTTCAACAGTTTTCCCCACCTTATCGTGTTTCTCCTTCTTTGAGTAGTGACTTGCCACGCGGACGGCTCTCATTGGCTAATTCCAGCTGATTTTTTTTTAATATATATTATTTATTTATTTATCATTACTTGCCATCAAACCAATACTTTTTTTTAATAGTTATTTAATTTTATTGTTTTTATGTTTAAAATTAAATTATGGAAATTGCAGTCATGTATTGCGGCTATGAGTTGGAAGGCTTCACAATCAACATAATGGAATGAGATTCAAATCTTCATTTAAACGTTTATTAATGTAATTTAAATTATATTATTTATATATTGAATTTTTTTTTATAACTTATTTTAGTAAATCAACTTTCAATTTTTATTTTAATTTAATTTTTAAATCCCTTTTTAGATTTTTTTTTTTTTTTGTTTATTGTAGATCATTGACTTTATAATTATTAACCTAACCGGTTGATATAGACATGATTAGAGTATAAATAACACTAAATTAATAAAAATATCTATCAATTTTGTAGTTTATAAAAAAAAAATACTTATAAACTTTTTAAATTTTTTAATAACTATTAAAAAAATAATAACTAAAAAATACATTTGTCATTAGTTATTTTTTATGTTATTTTTTAAAATTCATGAATATTTTTATATACATATTTATTTATTAAATATTTGATTTTTATAAAAATATATATTTGGGTTTTTTTTTATTTAGAAAATTGAATTAATTAGACAAAAATATTTACTTTTAATTAAAGGTAATTATTATTTTTTCAATTATTTATTCTGTTTTAAACTAAATATTATTAATAGTTTTGTCGCTTTCCCAAATCACAGCGGCGTCTCGGAGGTTTTATTTCTCTCTCTCTACTAAAAATGTCAGAAAACCTTCTAATTTTACTGGGTGGGTCCCATAGTCCGTCCTGTGAAACCGACACGTGCACGTAGCGGGTTTTACGATCGTTGATTTTTCATCATATAGCTTAGGATCCGTCGATTCTGGGCGTACAAAAGGACGGTAGAACAATTAACGTGTGAGTGAATGCAGAGAATTATTTTTATCTTCCTCTAAAGGTGAGAAAGTCACGTGCCGTATTTTGTTGCGTGACTCATGTCTCTTCTCTCACTCCAAAAGGCAAGCATCTTTTAATGCTTCGAGTTTAATTTGGAAGGTGAAATTACCGTTTTACCCTCGTTGTCTAGACTACTTATCTCGGAACGTTCTTAAACTTTCAAGTTCATTTATTTTAGTCACCGACGTTTTAATTATTATTTGAAACTTAAAAGGCTAAGACATGACTGGTATGCACTTATTTTTTTGGATGTGAGCTATGTGGTGCTGTGTTACTAGGTTAATTTTTATATTTGAGAATATGTCTGTTATCTGTTATCTAGTAAGCCGTTATATTTGAACCAGAATGTTAGTTTATGAATTAAATTAAAATGGAATTAAAAATTAAAAAAATGAAGGGTGGTGATTGGTTGAGAGCAAAGGATATGCATTGGTTGGGTGTTGTTTGGATATGGATCTTGTCTTATCCTTTAAATGTATATCTAAATCTGTGGGCCAAACATAAGAGGTTTCAAGAAGCTTTCTTAATTTACTATGAAAGGGACAACATTTGCACCCAAAAAAAATATTAAATACTTTCATGTATATCTTTCTTAATAATATTATTTGTTCACTATTCCAATTTTGTCCTCGAGTCAATGACGATATAATTGTTCTTTATGAGGATTTTTAAGGAAATTTGACATTTTTTAGTGGTCCAGATTCACTCTCCAACCGACCCAAGTTGGTCGTGAGGGTGACATCCCAACCCAATCTAACTCTGTGTTTTCGATTTAGGTTGAGTTGAATTGCTAGGAAAATCAAAGATATGTAACATACGACCGACTCCAACTTATTCAATTATGATATTTATACTATTTTTATTTAAAAGTAAAAGACGCCCATTGCTCGATGATAAGGAAAACTAATATGAACGCACTATTTTAAGTGTTTGTGATAGGACAGATGTGACTTTACTTGTTGGTTTAGATAGTAAAGATCGTAAAAATCTCATTATTTTTTAATTTAAAAAAAAAAAAACAGGTTTCCTTCCTAATATGAGTATAATCCAAGGTTTGATCTCCTATAAGAAGTTAAATCAATGATTTAGCTCTTAAACTTTTAAAATTTACTAAAATAATTAATACTATTTTTAAAATATATTTTTTATATAAATTGTTATAGTAAATATTAAATATAAAATTTTAGAAATTTATAATTATTATTTTGTTAATAATTTGGGGTATTAAGGAGAGAGAGAAGGGAAGAGAGAGAAACCTTAATGGAGACAGGATGTCGAATCAGTGGTCACTGACACCCAAAAATGCACAAAGCAAGAAAACAAAGAAGAAAAAAAACAATCAATCATTGAATAAAAAGCTGGAGAATGTGATGCAATCTTGACCGTTCATTTTCCTTTTGAGAAACAAAACCCACAGTGATTTGAAATTTGTGTCAGCCAACCACAAGGATCTATGCACATCCAATTCCACCCTCTCTTCTTTTGGAACCTTTTCCTTTCCTCTCTCATCACAATCAAAATACAAACCCTCAAATCACAGCCCTCCATTCTCAAATCAACGGCCTCAGTCATGCTTGTCCTCTTTTGGGAAATTTCCATTAATGGTCGGTTTGAGGTATAGTGGAATTCGATTTGATTGGACTCGTAATTGGAAATTTTCCATTATCAAAATCGAACCATTTATGGCAATAATTTATCATTTAATAAAAATGTATCGACTCGATTTGGTTCAACTCATAAACCGTATACTTACAGTTGGTGGGTTAACAATGATTCAAAACGAATGAATACACAGACATCCCATTTGTATTACAATTTTGACTGCACGGTTAATTTAAAATATAAACATTATGCATTATTTATAAATATTTAAAAATTGGGCGAGAGATTATGATAAGTGGTACAAGTTATACATTAATGTTGACTTTATTAAGTTATTGTTAAAATTAAATATAAGCATATCATATATTTAAACATATCTTTTTTTCTTATTTTATTTTTAATATATTCAAAGGCCAGTTGTTGCATTGGGATTGTGAGTAATTTTAAAATAAAATATAAAATTAAGTATTCATTTAATTAATTTAAAGGCTAATTATCTGGTGTTATTAAATATTAAAATTATTACTGAATATTATTAACGAGGGTGGATAATAGAGATATAATAATAATAATAATAATAAATTAATTAGTTGGAGGTTACTAGAAAATCCGCCGCTTAGTGGGATGCCATATATTGCAGCTGCTTAGACGCGACGAATCTGAGCCGTTGGATCTGTTGGAGGAGTTGAATATTCAACCGCCAAGACCAATCAAACGTGCCACGTAAGACGGTGGGCCATGTTGAAGAAAAACATTTTTTTGGCGCTGTCAACGGTGTTGGCGGAGGATTTAAGATCAGCCTATGAGAGATCGCGGTCCTGGAGTAGTGGCTTGAGCGAATAAAAACTGGCCACGTAGACATATGAAAAAATACGTGGAAAATATAATGGAGTAATTAAATTGAGTGATTATAATTCTTGTTGGGGTAGATGTCTGTCAGCTGGATTGGTCACCGACCAATGAAGTTGTGGAGTAATTGCGGCTAGGTGCGGGTGAAGGTGAGGGGACCGAGGTAGGAAACGTCGGAAGTTGCCTGATTAGGAAAATTTACTGTTTTTTTTTTTAAATAAAAATGAAAAATTGAGATATTCTATTTTTTTTTTAATTTTTTTTAAATATTTTCGAATAAACTCCAGTGACGTTACTTTAATCTTATCTTAAATGTTTCGGATCGAAAAAAATTTAAATACTAAAATAATTTTTATACAAAGTTAAAACAAATAAAAAAAAATCAAAAAAATCAAAGCTATGGAACGTATAGATCTGAGCACGGTGCCGTGTTTGGATTCATTACAATTAATAATATTAAAAAAAAAATAGTGTATTTTTTAGGTATTTATTATTAATTTGAACATATTCTTTAAATTTAATGCCCAAAAGGTTGAAATGGGTTTCAAACTATTCCTAAAATTGGTTTAGATTTCAGAGTTTAAAGATTTGCTCTTACTTTATCGGGACCTGTTTCTCTCAGCTACTTCCTTTTCTGTTCTCTCCGATCAACTCAGCCATAGCCATAGAAGAAACTTGAACAAGAACAGCCCACAAATTCAGAAAAGAAAAAGAAAAAAATCTCCTTTTTAATCTCTTTTCTAGAGATTTTCTTCACTGGGTTTTGTTTTTTGTGTTCAAAAAGGTGTGGGTTTGTTTTAATCTCGATAAAAATACTGTTTTTTGTTCTTATTTTTTCCAGTTCGATCTGTTTTGCTCTGTTTTACTCTGTTTTTTTAAGATCGATCCAGAGGAATTACAGAGACGATGTTGAATCTTAACGATTTGATTATCAACTGCGACGAAACTTCGACGAATCGGACTGTAATGGAAGATTCTGAGACGTCGAATTCTTCTGTCGTGAATGCCGACGAGGTCTGCAACAGTAAAGATGAAGATTCCTCTGTTTTAATCTTCAATATTCTGAAAAGGGAAAATTCCGGCGGTGGTGCGTCGCCGGAATTAGTGACTCAGGCGCTCTTTCCGGTGGCTGGAGGGTGGGGAGAAACTGGGTCTCCGGTTCCGAAGTCCCATTGGTTGAACCTGTCGTCGACTGGTGATTTCGGCCGCGAAGGCGTCGGTGGAGGAACTGCAGAGCTGAAAATTGTGCAGCAGAAACAGCAGCAGGTGAGGAAGAGCCGCCGTGGGCCGCGGTCCCGGAGTTCGCAGTACCGGGGAGTTACCTTTTACCGGCGGACAGGAAGATGGGAATCTCATATTTGGTAATAACAAAATCTCAAATCTTGGTCTTTTTTTTTTTTAAATTATTTTTATAATTAATTTATTTATTTTTAATTCGTGGTTTCCAATTTGAGAATTTTGTATTTATTTATTTATTTTATTTTTTTCCTCAGGGATTGTGGGAAACAAGTTTATTTAGGTAAGAAAAAACCAGAAAAAGTCCAATTTCTGTAAATAATTAATTTTTTTTCTTTAGTTCTTTGTTTGACAATCAGTTTGGGTTTGAATTTTCCCAGGTGGGTTCGACACTGCCCATGCTGCAGCAAGGTTTGTTTTGTTTTGTTTTTGTTTTTGTTTTTTTTGAAGTATATATTATATATTTTTATAACGAGAATTTATGGGTTTTGTTACGAGCAGGGCATATGATCGAGCAGCAATAAAGTTTAGGGGAGTGAATGCAGATATAAACTTCAACATAAGCGACTACGATGAAGATATGAAACAAGTGAGTGATTTATGAGCCAATCCAAAATAACACGAGAAATAATTTATTTATTTATTTATTTATTTTGAAATTGAAGAATGACAAAATTTTACTTTGCAGCTGAAGAATCTAAGCAAAGAAGAATTTGTGCATGTTCTTCGTCGACAAAGCACTGGATTTTCTCGTGGAGGATCGAAGCTGAGAGGATTATCTCTTCAAAAATATGGAAGATGGGAAACTCAAACGAGTCCAATTATGGCGAAGAAGTAAGCTTAAAAAACGCTCGAAAAACAGAAAAAATTCAAAAGAAAGAACTAAACGAACGTTTTTTTTTTTTTGTTACTACAGTGAAATCGAGCAAAGGTCGACAATGGTAGATGCAAACAATGGAGGTAAAAAAAAAAATTAAGAAACTAAAAGATTTTCTTCTTCCTTTTTTATTTATTTATTTATTAAATAAATTTGCTTTTAATTCAGGCAATGGGCATAATCTTGATCTGAGCATTGGAGGAATTTTCAACTACCATTTAAGAAATTCTTCCCAAAACATCAACATTCAAACACCAAAGGTACCTATATATATATATATATATAGTAATTTTTTCACGTCGTGGGTATCTATCTCTTCGGAGCAAAACAAAATACATGTTAAAAAAATCTCGAACGAAGCTCGTTCAAGAATGTTTGTATGAACAGTGATTAATCGTACTATAAATTTCGACGAATGTATATATATTTATGGATAAGAAAGAATAAAGTTCGAAGATATTATGGCAATATGTATGGATTGATGTCGTTTTCTTATCTTTTGTGTGTGTGGGCAGAAAGAAAACAATGGTGGTGGTGGATATGGTGTGGGTGGACAACAACCTCATATTCCTTCTTCTATGTGGTCTGGTTTTTGCTCTGGTTTTTTAGCAGATAATCAGGTAATTTTTCTCCTCCCATTCTTTTGGAGCTCGGTACCTAGTTTTTGTCTTTTGTCTATACAAATATACCCTTTTAGATTTTACGTTAGAACGCCGAGGAATGTATCTATCTATTTGTTTTGTTTGTTTACTCATAGGTAGGTATCGACATAAACAAGCGTTTAATACTACACATAGTAAATTTGAGTTCGGTTTGGAAATGGATTTGATTTAGATATAGAACAGAGGTCAAAATGAAATTATTTGGTTATGAAAATGTTAAAAATTTAGGGTTTTTGGTTCGAATTAATTTTGATTCTTTTGATATTTGTTTCAGACGAATAAAAATCAAACCAGATGACCTTGTTTGGTACGGGTGTCGTCGACCTTGTTTTAAGTAAACAATACCCCCACTTGAACGAAATGAGAGAGAGGCTAAAAAGATTGTTTATTTCTTATTTTTCGTGGTAGGAAAGAAGAGAGAAGAGAAGCTACCCGTCAAAGACCCTTACGAGCTCGGGATGGCCAATGGCAATGCCGATATCGATGCCGATGTCGGTTCAAGAAAATGGGAGTAATGGAATAAGAGCAAGAGAAGAAGCTCATGTTTCCAAGAGTGCAGCATCATCAGGATTCTCTTCCTCTTCTAATTTTGGTTCACTTTATCCCCAAAATACCCCTCCCCTCCACAATGCTCTCTGCCTTCCAACACCTTCCCCCAACATTTCTTGACAGTTATTTTGTGTTTTTTTTTTTTTTTTTTTTTTTTTTTTTTTTTTTTTTTTTTTTTTTTTTTTTTTTTTTTTTTTTTTTTTTTTTTTTGTGGCAATGAGAGAAATTTATACTTTATTATGCCCAATTGAACCTTAATTAGTGTTAATTAATTAAGTATTTTCCATTTTTTTTTTCTAAGGGAAAAATTTGGAGTATTCCTATGTATATATTAAGAAGAACATGTGTATGGCCCTTCCATTATTGGAGGCTCTTTTTATTTATTTATTTTTATTATTTATGTAATAATATTATTCGATGTAGTGTGCGCGGTTGACTCTTTTAGAACTGTAATAAGTCAAACAGAATTTGAAATTTGTGGATTCCATGTGATTATGATTGATTGTGTTCATAATCAATTGTGGCCCTTGTATTACATTATCCTTTTTTGTAATTCGATTAAGCTCGAAAGGGTACTTGACCCAATTTTCATTGATCATTACGTGAAATTAATAACACGTTTTTTGTGAACTAGAAGGAAAAAAAAAACAATGAAGGATTTATACTTATAATTTGAAGAGAACTGCTTCTTTCCCTGACATTTCGTGTTGCTTCGCAAAATAATGTAAAATGATCTGATCGAAAGCAAACCCTGTTTGGTTTGGTTCAACTAATGTGTACCGGGACGACTAGTTGAATAGTGGTTGCTAAGGTAAGGAGTGGTCTAGACCAATGATCTAGCTTATTATTATCGTTGTGCAAAGTAAAATAAGCAATAAAGGGCCGGTAAATCTTTTTTTATATACAATAATTAGTTTTGTTAATGAAATGGTAAAAATAAATTGGGCCCTAAAGCCCAATAAATGTTGCCAAACGGCCCAATAAAATTTGTTTGGCCCAGCCCAGAATTTGGAGCGTAAACACTTTGTATGGAGGAGATTTTCTGACAAATGTTACTTCTTTCCCTCTCGTCTTCTCTGAAACACAAATCAAAGAGATGTGGCGCACCATTGACGCTCATCTGAGGTCCGTACGCCTCCTTCCGAGTCTCTCTGTTCAATCTTCTTCTTTTTCTTCTTCTTCTTCTTCTTCTTCTTCATCCACTTTTCTCTTCAACTCCGGCCGTTCCTTTTTTGCTCGCTCGAGTTCGAGCCTCCTCTCGCCGGTACCGAAGCCTCATTTGATTACTCTCTCCAAGCCTCTAGCCTCTCGTGTAGATGCTAATTGTTTGTCGAGTGTTTTATGTTTTGGCCTTGAAAGTCTACGCCTCGGAGGATCGAGTTGCGGTTCGGTGGTGTTGGCGAGGTGCATTACCACTTCGGTGAACACGTTGGAGTGGAATGAACCAGTATCGTGTTCGGAGGTTGGAGAGGGTGCTTTTCGGAGTGCTCGGGATGAAGTTAGCGACGGTGAAGTGGCGGAGGATTCTAGACCGTCTATTCCTGTCAGAGCTTTTTTCATCTCGACTAGGTTGCAATTTCTTTCACTCTTGTTCTTTTATTACCTGGAATCTTCTAATTATATTTTTGAGAGAGTGTGACTTGTGTAATTTGGCATCCAGGGATTTAACTTCGCGTTTGTTCTGACTTTATTGTCAAAATTTGCATGTACATTGTTCATTGTGTAGTTTTTGAAATCTGTTAAGTGTAAACTGAGATAATAGATAAAATCATGTATATTTAGAGTTTCCATGAAGTTTGAAGTTTCACATGATGGATTAAGGAGAATTGTAAACTTGTGTGTTTCTTATTCTAATTCCACATATTTTCTATGATTCAGTGTGGACTTGAGACGCTTGGTGGATCAGAATAAACACAACTTTATCCCACCATCTTCTCGGATGACAAATTATGTAGTTCTTAAGTTCGGGGATCTTTGTGATGTGAACGTAAGTTTGCTTTCTAGTGCACTGTTGGTCATGATTTGTTGGAGGGAATACACTTAGAAGAGAATTTTCTGTCTCAGAGTTATGGCGCCAGCATAAGTGGAAGTGACTGCTGTTTCATGGTAGTTTTTCAGTATGGCTCCATTGTGCTATTTAATGTTCGTGAATATGAGGTTGATGGGTATTTGAAAATTGTAGAGAAACATGCATCGGGATTGCTGCCTGAAATGAGAAAAGATGGTAAGAACTTCAAATGTATTTTTATACAAATTTGTTTGTTTGTTCGTTTGTTTTTTGTAACAGATTTCTTATACAAATTTGTTTCTACTGGAGTTATACCACTGTTATTGTTGGCACTTCTATTGATATAAGACACTATGTTTTCATTTATCAGAAAGGGAGTAAGAAAAAGAGGAGGAAATAAGCCATTCTCCCTTTCCTAGAACCATCTATAAGAAATGGCTCCTATCTAAGTTGATTAGAATGGTATTTATAAAAATAAAATGTTGGTTAGAATGGTATAGTAGTTTAAAAATATGAGTCACTTTGTCTAGATGCATAAGATTGTCTTGGATTATATCTACTTAAAACCATAACATGCCTTTTGATCTCCGTTGACAAAAAGTAGCCTTGACTGTTTCCTTTCATGAATTCTAACTTTGGGTTTTTAGTATGTTTTCCTGTTTTACTCTTCCAGTTCCTTCAAGTTTGTTGTCCTGCAAGTTTGATAGCGTATTACTTAAAAATTGTGACCTCTAGAGTTTTAAGAAAATAAATAAAACAATTTTTCAAAATAAAAAAAGAAAAGAGAAGGAAGGAAAGCAGGATGGCACGCACACAAGTTGGAGAAGATGACGTATAGTCAACGGTTAGTTTCTCATCCTGTATCCCTTTTTCTTTTTTAATGAATTTGAAGCTTCTTGGAGTCCATTCTTCGAGCCATTCTCATGAGTTTTATTATTTTGGCTTAAATTAGGTCATATCAAGGAATTGGAGAATTTCAAATTCTTGAAGACCCGAATCAAGCTCGGGCAGTCGATAAACAAGTAAGTAACCACATGGAGCAAGTTTTAAGAAGTATTTGTAGGAGTCGATTAGACCACTAAAAAAATGATTAGAAATCATGTTCAGAAGCCTATTTAAGCTAGTTTGCTAAGCCTAGAAAACTTAATAGTTTACGGTTTAGCACGGTACTTAGTTTTCAGCTTCTACAATGCATAATTGTGAACTCTGATATGATTAATATGTTTATAAGTTTTCCAACCTACCTTGGTTGATTTACTACCCCTTGTTTGAGCATGTTGAGCATGCTATATGTTTATATATGTTTATAAATATATGATTTAGGGTTTGGGAATCCCAAGAATCATAAAGGTATACTACTGAGGTAGCTACAGCTGTGCCTAGTGGAGAGCCATGACCTTATATTGTTCTAACCTAGGAAGGTGTGCAAATAGGCAGATAACTACTGGCTCGATACCAAATTGTTACGAGCCCAAGTCTGCGATCGAGTTATGAGTCTTTCGTAAGTGGAGGTAGACGGTGTTTGTGTGGGGGAAGAAGTAGAATTTTTCTTGACTTATTTTGAACAATTGTAAGACTCAAATAAAGGAAACCTTAATACGTCTGAGTTAAAGTACTCAAGACTAAATTGAAAAATTTTTAGGTACATCTTCATTGATGTTTATGCTATTTATACAAGTTGTAGAGTAACCATTACTACATCAATGAAACTATGACTCAATCATGGAGGATCATCCTCCTAAAACAAAGGAAATAACTAAAATTAGAAACGAAAGTGGAGTCCTTACCACCATTGCTACATCAATGGAGCCATGACTCAATCTGGGAGGATTATCTTCCTAAAACAAGGGAAATAACTAAAAATAGAAATGAAGGTGGAGGACTCCTTACAATACTTAAACTGAAAAAAAAAAAAAAAAATTTGCATACTGAAAATTTGGACCAACGGGTTTCATATGTGACTGCTTCTTTTTGCCATGAGTGTAACGTGTGTACATTTGTAGTGGCATTTGTAGTAGAAGTTTATAGAGTTGTATGCATAAGCCTTATTGTGCATGAATAGGTACTAGAGCCAAGTCGATGGCTTGGGATTATAGTCGAGCACATAGCCTAAGTATATGTTATAAAGCAAGTATGACGAGAGTCTACAAGTAGGTTGCTTATTGAGTATTTTTATACTCATTCCATGTTATTCTATTTTTTTTTTCAGATGGAGTGTAGACTACTGTTGATGGCAGGAGCGTGCGGAACCGTGCACCTGTAGGGGGTGCCCTTTAGATCGAGTCATCTTCCTTCTTATCATTTTATTATTATTTTTAAATGCTACTTCTCCAAACTTGGGTCTTTTTTTTTTTTTTTTAAACTCTTTTGACTTGACTTCATGGATATTACCTCTCTCACTTTACAAAAAGAAAATCTTAGCACCCATTTTACCTTTGAGTGTTTGTGGCAACCTGTGATTTGGGGCATCGAAACTCGGGTCGTTACAAAAATACTGTAGTAGAAGCGTATGGATTTCTGAATTTGAAGTTTTATGAGTTTGTAGAGTATGAGGTCAGGGAGATGCCTGCCTTAGATACGTGGATGGAAGGGGGATTGGACTACATAATGCTGCAGTACTTGAATATTGATGGCATACGTACCATAGGTAGTGTTCTTGGCCAGAGCATTGCTCTTGATTACTATGGGCGGCAGGTAGTTACTATATCTAACTAGACATTTTAATACTATTTTACATTGACGATATTTAACCTGATCGATCGTGCTCTTAACATTTGCTTCAAAGGTTGATGGGATGGTTGCTGAATTCACTGACATAAACCGTGAAATGGAAGCAACTGGGAAGTTTAAAATGAAGAGGAAGAAACTTTTCCAATTGGTGGGAAAGGCAAATTCAAATCTTGCTGATGTCATTCTCAAGCTTGGACTTTTTGAAAGGTAAGTCATTTCCTGCAGTAAATTATTAGTTTATATGTAGAATTTCATTATTTATCTGCACAAGAGACAATGTACTTTCAATGATCAACGAAGAAGAAAATGAGCTCTTCAAATGGTTATTGTATGTTGTTTGCTTGCTTGCTTGTTTTGGACTTGTAGTACTCTCCATTTATCTTACTGTAATAACTTTATTTTGGGCTTCCTCGTGGGTCATCGTCATTTTGCACTGGGAAAGTGATCATTATTTATATTCGCTAATAGTTATTCCCTCGGGCTGTTTCTTGTGGATCCAATACTATATTCACAGCAAATTTATGATCGGCGCACTTGTTAGTGAGTTCACTGATTCCTGTATAGAACCTAATTTTTCATTTTTTATACCTTTTTCAGATCAGACATTGCGTGGAAAAATGCAAAATATGCCCAAATATGGGAATATCTGAGAGATGAGTTTGAGCTAACCCAGAGATTCGCAAGTTTGGATTTCAAATTGAAGTTTGTGGAGGTAGCCATCATCTTCTTTAGATGAGAATTTGTTCTTCAGACAACATCTATAACTCCACCCACTGACTTCTTCATTACTCCTTTTTTGTTGTCAGCATAATATTCGCTTCCTACAGGAGATTCTGCAAAACAGGAAATCAGATTTTTTGGAATGGCTGATCATTGCATTGATCGGTGCAGAAATTTTACTTTCACTTTATGACATTATCCATAGATCAGCCGCTAATCTTTAGCACTGCTTGCTTGCTTGCTTGCATGCATGCATGCTGATCCTTGAAGTTGTTGGAGGTTGGTAGTTTTGGCTTTTAGCCTCTCGTATATTCGCCACTACTACTATTTGTACAATGTACATATAGCTATGTAAATTTGGAACACTCTGCCATACCGGACCTTGCTTTGTAAATTTTAAAGAGTTTTACCAATTACTTTTGTTTTAGAAATGGACCTTACCCTGTCGTCGTTTGACTGATTGGCAAAAGAAAGGCCCACTAATCAATTTTTGTTACTCTGGAAAGTTTCATCAAATTATATAAAATATTTAGAACTAAAATGGAAAGGAAATGTACCCAAGAAAATCAGTACTTAATTTTATTATAATTTTTTAATTAAAAATGTTCATTTCATATTGGTTAATTAGGGTTTAAGTTTTTTCTTAATTTTTTTTTTTTAAATATTTCATATAACTGATAAATATTTTAAAAAGTGATAAAGATGGTGATGTTTAGATAAATTAAGCATCATAAACTCAGTTTAGTATTTACTTTAATAGTATTAATTTTGTTAATAATTTTTTAATTTTCAACATTTTCGTCCATATACTTGTAAGAATTTTGTCGTTATCATAAATTTTTTTATTTAAAGTTAATTAGCTTACATCAATAAACTAATTAGGTATCTAATATATTTATGAGTAGAAATCTAAATTAAATAATAAAAATTCATATTTAGTTTTGAAAACATTTTCAAAGGAAAGAATTAAACTGTTACCTACTACATGAACTCTTACCAATTAAAAAAATATTGTTTATGACAATTAATTTATCATCATTTAAGTCAGACTTACAGAAAAAAACATAAATATTTATAATAATGAATAATATTAAAAAGAATATTCAAGTTATTAACGACGGATGAAACCAAGAAATAACCCTCGCATAAGAATAATAAATAATATTAAAGTTATTAATGACCAGATGAAACCAAGAAATAACCCCGGGTACGAAATTATAAAAGATCTCCTAATCAAACAATCCCATCGGAAATTATTGAAATTGACCATGATACCCTTTCCTAGTCTAGCTTTTAAAATCTCTCTCACCAACAGAAAGAAGTATCTTTTTTTAGTTCAGTAGAATCTATTTTTTAGTTCAAGATCTCTCCTACTAACTGACATGAAAGAATTAGTAAATCTGTTATGCAGAAAAAGAGGATGAGCTAGGGTTACGAACTTATAATCTATAATATGATGAACGAGTCAATTTTGTGATTATAAGTTCACACCCGAACATCTTAACATACCAGAACATTTTTAAATATTTGAGTAAAATTATATTTTTTTAAAGAAAAAAAACTCAAATATTTATTTTATATGCGGAATTGAAATAATAAAATGAAGAGAATAAAGTCATTAATTCGGGTATGTTTAGAAAAAAAAATGAAATTTGTATTCCAAAATTTCCAAAATTAGTTAAAAAAAAAAAAAGAAAAAAAAGAATAAGGAATAGACAAAAAGTTGTGTTATGAGTGTGTTCTTCTCCAACGTCCGATCTTCGTTTTCTTTTAAAAACATATATTCCGCCAATCCCCATTCTTCATTTTCCATTTTCAGATCTTCATTCGCCATTTTCTTCATTCTCTCTCTCCCTCTGCGCGCCAAATACAAATTCTCTCATCTTTCCTTCTTCCCTCTGGATTCCAGGTACTCTCTTTCCATTCCACACTTAGGGTTCCACCAATCCATTGTTGTTACTGTTTTTTTTACTCTTCTGCTTGATTCAAGATCTCCCTCACATGGCGGACCCTCCTACTAGTCCTGCCGGCGGCAGCCACGAGAGCGGCGGTGAGCAGAGCCCCCACACTGGCGGCGTTCGTGAGCAGGACCGTTACCTTCCGATCGCTAACATCAGTCGGATCATGAAGAAGGCCTTGCCTGCTAATGGCAAGATCGCCAAGGACGCTAAGGATACCGTCCAAGAATGCGTCTCCGAATTCATTAGCTTTATCACTAGCGAGTGCGTTTCTGATCTGTTTCGTTTTCTGGATCGTGGGTCTTCTTCTTTTTTTTTTTTTTTTTTTTTTTTTTTTTTTTTTTTTTTTTTTTTTTTTTTTTTTTTTTTTTTTTTTTT